CAAGGCCTAGCAAGGGTAGAGTGAGGACCTCACTGCTATATCGTCTACTAGGCTTGACCACACTATAAACCCTGCTAATAGTCTGTGTGACTATTGGAGACGTTAGGTATATTTAGTATCTAAGTCTCTGTCCACGTTGTGGACTAGTACGTGTGAGAAAGCACACGTGGTTCTGAACGTTCTAGCAGGGAACGTTTCATAACATTTGGAAGAGGTTTTTCTATAGGTCAACCTGTTTAGGTTTAGAACCACTTACAAGAAGTGGGGTCTACTTGGACGCTACAGGAAAACAATTCCATCAAGTCCTCAAACAGGGGTATCCAATTCTCGGGAACTCGGTGCACGTTGTGGCCTCTGCACCACTTGGAAAAACAGGGAGAACCACTCTGAAGTAGCCATTGCGGCGGTACTTCACCAGACAGGAGATTCTCGAAGAAGCGGAACCTGGGTACTTGTTGCGGCAAGGTACCTGCTGAAGGCAGTGTCGACTTGAGCCCCATCCTCACCGGAGGCGCTGGGTATACAGAAGACGCCGGTTAAGGGCCACTGAAAGAAGGCACCCACACCTTGTCGAGGCTGGTTTTCAATCGAGGAAACGCAGATAGGAAGGACGATTGGTTATAGGCACCAAGCAGAGGAAATCAAAAGCCAGAACGACCAAGCGCTCAAACGGGAGTAGGCAGGAGTTCGAAGTGACTAGCTGGGCACTTTAAAAAGCGAGCACAGGAATCACCGAGGTCAGAAAAGAGACTAGGACTCCGACTGGTTGACGCTACCAGGCAAATCAAAAGGCATACGTAATTGGTTAAGGGCCACCAACGATCAAAAGGCAGGAGTGCGGAGTTTTTGCTACAGGAACGAACTCAAGCACTAGCGATTACCCATGTGGTAATCCAGAAGAGAAGCCCTCATCTGAGGCACACGTTGAAGACGTGCTAAAAGCCCTTCCCAGGGAAGGCAATCAAGGAATCTTAGGACAAGACAAGATTCAAGACGACTACTTTCCGAGAACACGATTCAGTATCTGAGGAAGATACCCCAGAAACACGACCGGTGACTTCTGACGAAGAAGTACCACCATTTACGCTCAGTGACGCCACCACAGAGGAATTAACAGACCTCTACGACAAAAAGTCGACAGAAGCGGTTCAACTTCGACTTCAATTCAGACTAGGACGAGCCTACGAACCAACAGATCGCCCAAGGCTAGAACAGCTCGAGGGTGAAATCGAAGAAATAAGACAAGTTCTTCGCGGAAGGGAAAACTTTGACGAAGAATCTCTACGACTCTTTGACGAAGCAACAGAACTTCCACGAGGAGAATCAATCCAAGTTGAACAACAGGAAGGGCGTTCACAGGAAACCGGTGGATTACAGCCAGTTAATCCTCTTGGAACAAGAGCAGTCCCGCTCGAGAGATCTATCTCGAACAGTACTACTCGACCAGATTATCCAGGAATCACACATCTCAGGAGGGACCAGCCACCCCACCTACCCAAAGCACCTGGAATCACACGTTCGGTTTCAACTGGATCAAGACCAACCAGTAGCTTCCAGTTCTCAGGAAATATGGCCACACACGCACGATATGACCCGGCTCTCGGACCACCAGTCCATCCCGGAACTTGTACCGATGCTGTCTGGAACGAGTACCAACAAGCCTTGGCACTCTATGCACAATACCAGGGAGCAATCCCCAAGCAGCCAGTGGCACGAGAAAAGAAGATGGGAAAAATCAAGGAGTTTAGGGGAGACAAATGAGAATATGCATCGTTCCTCCGAAATGTGGAACGATACCTACAGGCAAATGCGGGAGTCTACAATGATGACTTCAGCAAAATTGCCTTCGTCCTCTCCCAAATCGACTCCTCATCCACAGCAGGAAAGTGGGCCGAGTCATGGGAAGCCAACCAAATGGCAAAACACAGCAATCTTGGGACGTATCAGGATTTCAAAACGACGCTTACCGAAAAGTATGGAGGTGTCGCGACCAAGGACCAAGCCTGGCAAGTACTTCTCGAAGGAAAGTACAAGCAGGACAAACAAACCGTTGACGAGTATATCGGAAATCTCGATATCCTCTACCGATATGCTGAAATCGACGACGAATACGCCAAGCTCATCCACTTCAAGCGAGGCCTTAATGAGAAACTTGCAGAAAAAGTCTTCATCACGGAAAGTCCGCCAACGACCTATGCAGCAGCATGCAAGGCTGCAAGAAAGGTTACAGACCTCCAGGACATTCATAGCGGAAAGACAAATATCTTCAAGTTCATCTCAGGCTCTTCAGGAAGCGGAAGAAGGACGGAGAAGGACCCTGACGCAATGGACGTTGACCGGATCTCTCAAGAAACCCATCAGAAACGTTCTGTGGGTGGACTCTGCTATAACTGCGGAAAGCCAGGACATGTCGCCGCACAATGCCCGAATCCAGAATACGATCTGGCACCAGATCGCTCAGGAAAGACAACTTCATATGCCAAGACCAAGACGTCCAATCCCAGGACGAAGAAATACTCCAGATCTGGCAGACGAAGAAAGACTTCCAAGCCGACTAAATCTTACTCCAAGGGAACGGAGAAGAAACGCCGACGAGTAAAGAGAGTCGAAGAAAGTGACTCTGAGGATAACTCGGAGAAGTCGGAACAGGAAGAATCAGAATCCTCATCATCGGAAGAATCAGAGTCTGAATTATCAGAATCTGAAGAAGTATCCGAACAAGAAACAGTTGTCCACAGGGTACGAAGAACTCGCCCTGTTAAAACCAAAACAGTTCGCAAAATCAGGCGAACCAAGGATGAATCCAGCGACTCAGAAGAAGAGTATGTGGTTCGAAGATTCATCCCCAAAGAAGAACTCGCCAGGATACGACGGGAAGATGCACTCAAAATGCGAGGAGACCGTATTAAGAAACGCAACATGACGATGCCCCATCTCAACGATCTTCTGGAATTCGGAGACAATCCAGACAGATATGAATATGCATGCTGATATCCACCACCCATGGAGAAAGATGATCCAGAGGATTTTGGAATTGGGTGCGCATTGGGATCTCGTGGCACCCAAATAAAGAAACGGTCCCCGAGGAAGTAATCATACGAGGCGATATCAAGCGAGGAAGCGAAATATACCTCAATATCGTCTTCCAGGATTACGATGGCACAAGAACCCGAAGTATTCCAGCAAGAGCCTTAGTCGATTCTGGAGCAAAAGGAATGTTCATCAATGAATCGTTTGCGAAGAAAGCAGGACTCCACCTTCTCAAATCGCAGAAGGAAGTCAAGATTTGCAGTGTCGATGGAAGTCCCATCAACTCTACAAACCAACGATTCAAAGGAACTATTCGTGCAGGAACATATGAATGGAATGATGACTTCCTTGTCATCGACTTAGGAAAAGAAGACGTGATCATTGGCAATACGTGGCTTCATGATCACAATCCAATTATCAATTGGCAAACGGGTGAAGTCAAGGTCCATCAATATATAGAAGACGTACCAGATGAAGAACCTTGGCCCTTCAAAAACAGAGACGCTGTTCGTCTTCCAATCAC